CATTGCATCATTGTTTTTTGTCTCTGTTTTTTATGAGTTATTAGCCATCATTTTGATCATTTTCCTTCTTCATGCTCTGTGCTTTTTTGTGGCTACTCTGAAGGTTTTTTCAGCACTTTTGATAATGATACACCTAGCAATGGTTTTATTTATGTTTATTATTCCTGGAACTTGATGAATTACTTTTGATCCATGATTTTATGTCTTTTATCAGTTCTTAACTATAATCTCTTCAAATATTTTTATTCCAGTATCTATTTTTCTGTGACTCAAGTTACACTTTATCTTCATAACTTACAAATGTAACTGAACCATATACTTATTCAAAACCAATTACAGGTAACTTTTATATATAGAGGGTAGAAAGGCTGCAGGAGAGTGTACTCCTTTATCTAAGGTAGGTTCGTGCTCACACCACACTCACTTTTACCTAGGTATCTGGCTTTCTTCCTTCTTACCCATCACTCTTGGAACTTCTTGAACATCTATTTCACTCAGTATGACTTAAACTCTGTGAAAGAAGGGATGTTATGTGTGGATTATGGTCGATGTTCAGACGCTAGAACTCTGGGGAGCTCCGTAGTCATCTGTTAAATTATGTGTTGAATGAAGATCAGCAAGTAGGAAGGCAAAGATAAACTTTGCCACTTTTAGAAAGGAGATGCGTTTGCCAGCTTTCTGTTACTATAACAAATACCTGAGACAGTCAACTTATAGGAGAAAAGTTTTATTTTGGCTCTTAATTTTAGAGGTTTTAGCTCATGATCAGGTGGCCCTACCGCCTCTGGGCCTCTGGGAGGGTGGTAGATGGCAGTGGTGGGAAGTGTCTGATCGAACAAAACTGCTCAGCTCATGGATGAGGACAGTAAGAGAGAGAGGGAAGAGACCTGGATCTCACAATCACATTTGAGAGCAACCCCCTGCCCCATTGAACCAAAGAACTTCTCTCAGGCTTCATCTCTTAAAGTTTCCACTGCCTCCCAGTAGTGCCAAGCTGGGAACCAAGACTGTAAGTACATGGGCCTTGGGGGACATTTAAGATCCAAACTGCAGCATGAAGCTCTTAAAAGGTAAAGATTAATAAAACCCATCAAATAATCTATTAATAATATGAAAATATTTGAAATAGTCCAGTGAAAAATAAAATATCTTGTACTCATTGGACTTAGTTGTAATAGAATCATAGGATTTCATAGCTGCATATTTAAGTACTTTAGATAGCTTAAAATGAGTGTAGTCATACAGTATTTGTCCTTTTGTGATTGGTTTATTTCACTTAGCATCATATCCTCAAGATCTATCCATTTTACAGTATGTGGCAGCATTTTCTTTTCTTAAAGGCTGAATAATGTTCTATTATATGACTATGCCACATTTTTTTACCCATTCATCTGTTGATGGATGTTTAATTTGCTTCTTCCTTTTAGTTATTGTGATGGAGAGAAATTTCAAAATTTGATCTAGTCCATTTCTCTATTTTTGCTTTATTAGCATTTTGGTGATTCTTTGATTTTTTTGGGTTGGTATCTTATGATTCTCTTCTATTTTCTTTTGTTTATATTATGTAGATATTCTCTGTGGTTGTCACTGGACTTACACAAAACTTAGCATTTTAAACTGACAATATCTTGAGTTCAATTACGTATAAGAGTTCTATTCTATAAAAATTTTGCCTACAGTTTGTGTTTTTGATATAAATGCTCTCTTTGTATGTAAACATAGTTTAATAGTTAATTTTTGTGCCTTGCATTTTAAATTCTGTACTTGGTTTAAAGGTGATTTGTGTACCTGTATTGCAACACACACTACTGCATTCAACGTTTATCTGTGCACTACCCTGCAGGAGTTTCGTGTTTTCCTTTGGTCTTGTACTGTGCTTCACCTTCATGTTGCTTAGTTTGAAGGACTCTTCAGCACACTGGTCTAGTAGATTTATTGGTGAAGTCCATTAACATCTGTGTACTTCAGAATAGCTTACTTACTTCTTAATTTTTGAAGGACAAATTTTACTGGTCATAGTGTACTTGGTCAGCATTTTGTCTTTCAGTACTTTGAATATATCAACCAAAGCCCTTCCAGCCTGCAGAGTTTCTGCTGAGCAGTTCACTGACATTCTAAAGTTACCCTTGGTACATGATGAATCATTTTTCCTTTCACTTTTCAGGGTTTTCTTTGTGACTTTTTACAGCTTCCTTAGGACCTGTCTCTTTTAGGTCCTTTTAGGACAGACCTTACTTGGGTTTTTCAGTCTTCCAGATTGAGTGTGTCCATTTCTGCCCTCACGTTTGGTGAGTTTTCAGCCATCAATTCTCCACATAAGCTCTTGGTGCCCTTCTCTTTTTCTCCTGCTTCTGGAACTCTCATAGTTTGTGCTGTTCCTCTTGACAGTGTCCTACAGGCCCCTTAGACTATCATCACTTTTTCATTCCATTTTCTTTTAGCTTCTTATTTTGGTAATTTCAAAGTGCTGTCTTTGAATTTGCTGATTCTTCTGGCTTGCTAAATCTACTTCTAGTGAATTTTTGCACTTTGTTATTGTATTGCATAGCTCCAATATTTCTGTTTGGCTTTTCTTCTTAGTTTCTGCGTCTTTTCTGATATTGTCATTTTGTTCATATGTAATTTTCCTGATATAATTTACTTGTCTGTCCTTTTTTAAAAAGGTAATTTATCATCCTTACGACAGTTATTTTGAATTCTTGCCTGGATACTTATTATGCCACTATTTTTTTAGAACCAGCTTAGGATATTTAATTTATTCTTTTGGTTAGGCTATTTTTCCAGGTTTCTTTGTATGCCTTGTTATCTTTTTGAGGAACTGTGACATTTGAAAACTCATTGGCTGAGCTTTTGTGATCTGGATTTATACAGCGAGGACTTTGTCAGGGCTGAATGTTGGATCTTTGCATTGTAAACCGCAAGCTTGTGGGCTGTCTTCTTATCAGGCACCACTGGAAGATCAGCTTTTCCAAACACCTCATTGGCACTAGCATAATTCTTCCTAAAAGACCATCCGCTGGAAAGATTAATTTTCCCTGCTCCCGTGTGTGTGTGTATGAATTCCAAACTCCTGTCTCTTAAAACCTTTACTGTTCTGAAGCATTTGGTACTTATTTGGTACTTTCCACTTTAGGTAGTTAAGGTTTATGTCTGTAGATTCTTTTAATTTAATGAGATTTAAAAGCTCTAGAAACCTAAAGTCTAATAAATACTACAGAATATCCTGAAAAGTTTCATGGAAAAGTAAGTACTTCACAAAGCCTTCTGTATGGCATAATGAAAGGTTTTGCAGTATTTGGAGGCAGAATACTTTTTAAACCCAGCGAAGCTAAAGAAAGATGCCTCTTAATTTTCACAGAAGTTAGTAAAGCTTAGTCTGAAGGGAAGAATACTACTTTTATGAAATTTAGGTACTATGTGCATAGTGCATAGAATTGTGTCAGAGTCTTTCCCAAAGTGCAACTGCTCTTTGAAGTTAACATGACTTAGTTGTTCTGACACAGGTTAGAGGAGTTTTCTCAAGTCATAATCGTGATTTCCATTTTGTGGAAGTCTGAAAATCATTGCCTAGGTTATACACAATCTTACAAGAAATGGATGCAACTCATAGTTGCAGAAGTGGAGTGCAGAGTCCATTTGTGAACGATCAGTAGTTTAGCAAAACTGAAGGTGGCTGTCTTGAAATAATTGCAGATACAGCTCTCGTTTCCATAGAAACTCCTTTTGAATTTTGTTTATATTCCTCCTGGACAGAAATATTCTGAAATTGGCTCTGACCACTCTTCTGTCACTCCCTGAATGGTGTTAAAGGGAACATCCTTCCTCTCAGAGGGCATCAACTCCCTGGCTTGTGGTCTGCCTGATTACTAGTACTGCTCCTTTCTGCCAACCAAAGATAAACTGGGTTTCTTAAAAGACAAATAAGCCAGGTTAACGTTTGATGCACAATTCTAACTACCACAATGTCTGATTATATAGATTTTATACTCTTACAGATGAAATGGCAATTCTTTAAATGAGGGCTTCCCAACCACAGGGCTGTGGGTCCACAGCAGGAGGTGAGCAGCGAGCAAGCCAGAAGCCTTCCTCTGTATTTACAGCTACTCCCCATCATTCGTATTACCTGCCTGAGCTCTGACTCCTGTCACATCCTGGTGGCATGACATAGATTCTCACAGGAGCATGACCTACTGTGAACTGTGCGTGCCAGGGATCTAGGCTGCATTCCTTATAACAATAATAATAGAAAGAAACCAAAAAATGTAATAATAATATAGATAAAGGGCACAATATAGGTAATGCACTTGAATCGTCCTGAAACCATCCCCCTCTCCTCTATCTGTGGAAAAATTGTCTTCCACGAAACTGACTCCTGGTGCCAGAAAGCTTGGGGACTGCTGCTTTGACTTACTGGACTGTATTCTGAGTTACAAGATTCTAACTCTGTAATATATGTGTATCTGTGTTTTTAAGTCAGAGTAATAATAGGGAGAAATGTTTCTTAATTTTCTTTGAAGCATGAACTGACTTGAATCTTGCTTTGAGTTACTTTGCTTTGGAACAATAGCTAGGCAGCCATATCTTGGATAAATAACACAAGTTTATCACTGATATTGCTCATCACACTTGTTTAGCTTTACAGCAAAACTTTGACATTAAATTACTTAGGCAACATTTTATATTTTCTCTCACACTTTTGCTATAAAGTAAACTTGACTGTTATAGAATATCTTTATAGTTATCTGCCATTGACAATTTTCAATGGATAAATGTCCTGTTTTTCTAGAAGTTAATAAATACAAATAAGAATCTTTCATCCTTTGAGGATTTTGAAAGAAAGTTAAGCACAGTTTACATCAGTACAAGTTCCAGGAAAAATCCACCCATGTGTTCCAAGAAGCCTTCAGATCTAGTGTGTGAGTCAGTAGGGCACTGAACTGTGCTCTCCTCTCTTTGTCTCTGGCCCAGGATATTAACACACCTGTTATTTGTCTCCACAGTAAAACCAACTGTAATTGATGTCGACATTTACGTTAACAGCATTGGTCCTGTGTCATCAATAAACATGGTAAGAAGCTATTTTATTTTCTAATCTGATGGCTGTTGCACCCCTTCTTGGTGATGTTCTCATTGTGGATTTCTGCTTGTGAATCATCCTGCAGATTTAAAGCTCACAATTCACGTCTTAAACCTGTAGCATTTGTTGGTAGTTTAAGTAATGCGAGTGGTCTTAAAAATGAAGAGGCAGAGTTTGTGACAGCACAGTGAGGAATTTCTCTGGTGGTTAAGAAATGTGCTGACACCACCTCCTCACAGGTGTGTGCAGCACATTGATTCTTCAGATGGAATTATGTGCAATTGTGAGGTTATTGATTTTCTCCAACTTGTTATTAGGAGTGAGTATCAATGATGGCTTTTTTACTTTTAGTTTCTTTTTTTTTCAAAATTCAAGAGATCTGCTTTTTAATGTTTCTTAGGAAAGGATTCAAGATTTCCCAGCTTCTACCTTTGTCTTCTGATTGAACTCTGAGGGTAAATCCACTGTGACTTTTTATTTCAAGAGAAATGTAGGATCAAATATGTGTTTTGCCTGAATGGTGTGTTTCCACAGGCTTAAAAGCAGTTTAAGCTTAGGAATTATTTAGTGAGAAAGACCCTGTGCCTATGGACAGGTGCTTCACTCCTGAGCTAGGCTTGGCATGTTGAAATGTCTTGGAATGTGAGCCTTCTGTCCTAGGCTGCAGGCCACGCTGCAGCTCCCTGCATCATGTTGCATCCAGGGACACTGGACTCCCAGGATTCCCCAGCGAAGGATGTTGTGAGTGCTGCCCCACACCAGGGGCCTTCCCTGCCCTCACCGCTGCATTTCACGCCTGAGTTTGGGGGATGTGCGAGCGGATGTGGGGACCTGCCGAAAGGCTGACTTGTGTCTTCTTTTCCTGTGCTGTGCATGGAAATATCCCTTCCGAAATTAGTAGCAAAATCACTTCTTTTCATTGCCAGTTTTGAAAAGTGTTCTCTTCTTTTGAAGTGAGAGTTATATATAAGGGTAAAATATATTTATGGGTGATTCCCTTAAAAACAACCATCTCAAGGCTGGGGATATCTCAGCTCCGTGGTAGAGCATGTGCTTGGCATGTGCAAGTTTATGGGTTGAGTGGCTCCAAAACCCCCACCAACAAAAAACCCACAATCTTCAGGCCACTCATCTGTAGAATACAGAGGTGAAATGGATAGCAGAGAGTAACTTCACACAACCTGTAGGCTGCAGATCTCGTGGATTAGAGTCAAATCGAGTCACTCCTTTGCTTGAGAAGTATTGAGCCAACTGCATAGAGAGTAATCATTTCTTAATGTATTTGCTTTTTATTTTGAAGTTTTATTTGTTTACATCTGTTCTACAATGTTTTACTCAGCATTTAATTTATGTCTAACACTAAATCATGCCTAAAATGAAATGAAAAAGTATCTTCTAGATGTATAGATACAAAATTATTTTAACAAAATAATTTACCTGAAACTTTCAGATCCTCTTTGTGATCAGTCTTGAGCTTAGTTACTGGCATGCTGGGAAATTCTGGGTGGAAGTCACAGGTGGCAGTGGAGGATGCTAAGGAAGTGGCAGTCATCCACAGGTGATAAGGCCTAGGCAGGGCACCTTCTCAGGGAGCTTATGGGAGGAGAGCAGACTCCTCCAGTGAGGTCATCTCAGTCTGGAACCTGACTCAGAGTGGAGTTTGCTGGGTGGGACAGTGTGCGTAGGTCCCTCGGTGAGAAACAGGAGGACAGTATGTGTGATTGGGTTGGTGGGTAAGGAGAGCAGTGCCAAGGAGTCACTGGGTTGGGGAGGTGCACTGTGAAGTACCTTGCACTTGCATGGCACAGGCCTTGAAGCCATGGTGGAGATTTGAGCTTTGTCCTTAGCTTTGTTTGAAATAGATCCTGGCCTTTGAGGAGCGTGAACACCACTACTGTTGAGATACGCGCAGATATTTCTTGAGATTAGTACAAATCTCAGAAGATCTCAAGACAACCCTCCTTTCATCCTTTAAATTAAAAACTGCCACTCTCAACAACTATGTGGTGCCTCTGATAGTTAAGCTCAACTGTCAGCTTGATTGGCTTGGGAGCCATGTAGGGATTAGTGAAGCACACTTGTGGATGGGCCGTGGAGGCATGGCTTTGGGATCTGTATCTGATCCCTGGCCCCTTCCACTGTGGGGCTGTTTCCCTGCTCTGCTTCCTGGTCACCATAAACAGCACTTTTTCTTTCCTGTGTCCTTCTGCCACCATGTTTCACACACCCCCACTGTATCTGTGAAGACAAATGACACAGCTTCAAGGAATGTAAATGCTGGAAAGTGAAACTTGGACCTTACAACAACAGAAAACAATTTCAAAGTAGAGAATGGGCTCTACCTGGGTAGTGGAATTGAGTCAGCTCAATTTCATACTCAGTGTATGAAAAGCAAAAACAAAAGAGTGAAAGAGAAATGACAGTCATGTGCAGAATATATTATAGAAACAAGTACCTTTTAGAGATGTGTGCAGCTTTATGAGGTGATTTTTATTGGGCTTTCCATTATTAAGACATTATTAAGCTAATGTCTCATGCTAGTTTGCTTTTCTCTAAATAGCCAATAAACAATCAATAAATTAGGGAAGCCAATGACTATGCCTTCATATTCCCTCCCCATTGTGGCTTTTTATTGACATCATTAATTCTGAAGATTCAGCTTTAGACCTTTTTGTTAAATGAACATGGAGTTGCATTTCAATCCATTGTAGTATAGATTGATTTTGTTTTGTTTATCATCAGTTCTTTACACTATTTTTAGTTACTGATGAGATTAGGCATGGGTCAGATGGGACCGGGAGAATATTCTTTTACAGAAATATTCATAACATCTGCTGTACTTATCTTTATGACATATCTAAATGTGCGGAGCTCCCCATAGAAATCCTCCGTGGAATGCTTCATGGAATGCTTGAGGATAGCACAGACTGCATGCAGGGGAGCTAGTGAGTTCGTTTTTCAAGATATTCACTTTAAACAGTCTTTTAGGAAAGGAAAGGGGAAGAGTAATGTTCCAGTAGTAATTCTGTGCTGTCAGCCTCATCTAATCCTTATGAGATCCTAGTGGAGAACGCATTACTTGCTGCTCCTGTTTGTGTCAAGTTAGCGGAAGCACAAGGGATTCCAGAGTGGAGACTTTTCGTAAGGCTTCCCTCCCTTCCTGCGACATAGGGCCTGCAGCCCAGTCCATCTGGTGTGTGGCAGCTGTATGTACTAGTAGAGCTACTGCCTTAGCTAACCACTTGAGGTTGACAAGGCTCAGCATCAGTCTAGTGTTGGGATTGCTTTTCATTACCAATTTAATTAATTAATAGATTTCATTTTATGGGAAGTTTTAAAATTGGGGCAGAAAGTATGGAAAATTTCTGTCTACCTTTCCTTCTCTGTACACATAGCACACATACACACTTTTCCCTTTTATCAGTGTCTTTGCATTACTGTGGTATATTTTTTAGGATCACTAAACCTGCCTTTACACATCGTTACCACCCAAAGTTCATAGTTTAGATTGGAATTCATTCTTGGTGTTATGCATTCTGTGTATTGGACAGATGTGAAAGGACATGTACCCACTGTCATAGTATCACATGGTATGGTTCCCCTGCCCTAAAATCCTCTGTGCGCCACCTGTTCATCCCTCCTTCACATAGCTCCTGGAAACTATTGATTTTTTTTTTACTCTTTCCATAGTTTTGCCTTTTTTAGAATATCATATCTTTAAAATTATATATATGTCTTTCTCTCTGGCTCCTTTTGTTTGTTTTCAAAAGAAGCAAATTTATATCAGTATAAATGCATCTGCAGAATCTAAGACATGGAGTGAGTCAGCATGATGGGACTAAGATGTTTGTTACCCAGAAATTTGAAACATCACCAGAAGATGCTTCATTACATGATATATAACCTAAAAATTTAAAACTTGAAGAATGTTGTGCAGCTACGGGGGTTGTAGGGGGAAGCACAAGATCTAACAACCTCATTCCTGTTTCATTCCACTATGACTGAAGCTTTATGAGGTGATGCTCTTATGGTTTAGATCTAAAATGTTCCCCCAGATTTTCTTGTGCATGGAAAGTGACTGGATCATAGATGTGCCTTGCTTCTCAGTGGACTTGTCCATTGAGGAGTTCAGAGGCTAAATATGCTGTTAAGACATAGGGCCTGGATGAAGGTGGTCATTGGAGGTGTGACATGAAAGGGAGTGTATTCTTGTCCCCGACTCCTCCCTTCCCTCTCTGCTTTCTGGTTGCCGTGGGGTGAGCATCTTTTCCTCCAACATGTCCCTCTGCCATCCTGTTTCTGCCTTGGAACCAGCTGATCAAGGACTGAAACCATGAGCAAAAATATACCTCTCCTCCTTTAAATTGTGGGCATTGGGTATTTTTTCCCCAGTGGCAAGAAAGTAATTCAGATAACAACCATGTTTCTATTAAAGCCTGGAGAACTGTGGAATGTAAACTCCATTCCAGAAATGTTAGTAATGGAGGGTGATGTATTGCTTTGTAAAATTTTTCTGATGGCATCTAGATTCAAAAAATCCAACCTTATTTTGGTTTTCTTTGCATTTATTCTGCCTAAGGTTCATAGCAACTTTGTTTTTTTTGGTACTGGGGATTGAACTCAGGACCTTGTGCTTGCTAGGAAGGCGGGGCACCACTAAGCTAAAATACCCAGCCTGGTTCATAGCAACTTTTGCAACTATATTTGGATTCCCTTCATCAGTGTATGAAAAATTTTGTTCATTATTTCCTTTCTTTTTGATTGACATATAGTAATTATATATATTTAGGAGTACAATGTGGTGATGTGGCGGTAGATTCATGTATACGTTGTATAATTATCAAATAAGAGTAACTAATGTATCTGTGACCTTAAATATTTGTGGTGAGAACATTAGTATTAGCATATGGAATCAGCTTCAATTAGCCAGAGCATCCATCAGTGGATGAACAAAATGTGGAAAATGTGGTATTTATACACAGTAGAATAGT